CGCATGGAGTCATCTACCAAACCAACGGGCGACTCTGCTGCCCTCCACGACTGAAGTCCGGAGCGCTTGTTTTGCGCTCCAAATTCCGGGCGACCAGTATTCCCCGTCCTCTGCACCCAGTATCCTCCAGTGAGACCCCCCGTCCGTCCGTCAGTCAGTCAGCCAGTCAGTCACGCTGTGGTTTGATCGGGCTCGCTCGTCCGGAGTGAAAAAGTGAAAAACCCTTGTTTGTTGTTCTTGTTTCATTTTGTTTTTTCTAACTGCCTCCACCTCCACAAGGCTGCTTCTACCAACTCGCATACTTTTGCTTTAACTTTTATTGGCACATGATCTCGCGCGCGCACACACGCAGACACTCTCAGTCACGATCGCACCACGGTGCTAGCAACTTACAAAACAACTAAACCGGCCCCTCCCCCGCCACCTTCAAGTTCCGGCTCAGGTTTTTGGCGTTTTTGTTTTGTTTTGTTTTTTGCTCCCCATCTGTGCTGTGCTGTGCTGCGCTGTGCTGTTCTCCTCCCCCCACTCCAACCCCCTCCTGCAAACCTGGCTCAGCGCTAAAAGCAGAGATGTACCCTTGCGCAAACAAAAGCCACCACGACTGTGGCGTCCCAAAAAACAAAAAACAAAAATCCCACACTCGCAACACCCCCCGTCCCCGGTCGCTTTCAAGTTCCGAGCCCAAGAAGGTGCAACAAAACCCCGCTCACCTTCATCTTCCGAGTCGCTGCCAAGGGGGGCTGCTTGCTTGTTGCTTGTTGCTTGTTGCTTGTTGCTTGTTGCTTGTTGCTTGTTGCTTGTTGCTTGTTGCTTGTTGATCTAGATGATGTTGAAGATGTTGCTGCTACTGCTGCTGCTACTGCGACAAACGCCTCTCAGTCCACCGTGCCCCCGCCTCCTTCATCTTCCGGCCTCCAAAATCAAAAACTCCTGCTATCCCTAACCCCCATCACCATAATGTCACCATAATGTCATCACCCGTATCATCATCGCAGGCAACTCCCATCACCCTTCTTTGGCTCGACTTTGCTCCCTCTTCAACAAGTGCCCCCCTTCCCCCGCCTCCTTCACCTTCCGAGCCTGCTCCTTCAAATCCCTCCCCTTGCTTCCCCCTTCGCTCCCACCGCCTCCTACACGCTCCCTATCGTCCACCTATGCGCTCTCACGCTCTCACCTCCCAACGCAATACTCGCCCTCCCCCCTCAGCCTCTCACCTCATGAGCGGATTCCTTTCTCTCGCTAGAAAACAAAAAAATCAAAAAACAAAACAAAAACCCTCTCCCCCAAAGTCCTATCTTCAAAGTCGGCCTTGAGCGAAAGGCTCCCGCTCCAACAAACTCCACCCCCACCTCCCAGCTGCCGCTCTTGTATCCCCCCTCCCACCTTCGCTCGCATGCACAGCCCAGTACCGCATCCCCCCCCCCAAAAAAAAAACATACATGCCTGTGCCCTCGACAGCTCCCCTCCTCCCTTTCCATCCTCCCCTCCTCCCCCCTCCTCCTATTGCTCTCCTACTCCTCCATCCCTCCATAATCTCTCACTCACTTTCATTTTTACCACTCGCTCGGCAATCGTTTCCTCCACTGATGCCAGCGCAGACAGGTGAAAAGGGCAGCCGAACTGAACCATTTGTTTTCAAAGTCCATCCAGCCTGTCGGGTTGGCAAGATCTGCGTCAGGGGCCCGCTATAACTGTCGGCTTTTGCTAAAACCCTTATTAGACACACTCGCTTACATATCCGCACTTCAAACGTACGTTCAGCGCAGCTGCACAGGGAAGAGACAGGGACGATTGTCGACTTTGTCGCAAAAACCCACCCAAACCACCCCCAAACCACCTCCCTGCCCCGTCCCCTTCGCCCACGCTTGTGCGGGTCTTGCTCATACTCATCTATGCTACTTGGACATACATGAAAAGGCGCACTGGAAGAAGCGTGCATTGACGCGAGCAGGACGTTGCACTCAGCCCCCCCGACCGACCTACCCCCCTCCCCCTCCCCCTTTTTGTTTTCCCCCCGTCCCCCCAACCTTACCCTCCTCTCAGTCACCCTCCAACATCATCACCACCCTCGACCGCAATGTGGCGTGGTCGGTTTGGCCACCTGCGAAACCATCCATTTTCATGTTCCGAAACGATAAATTCGACCAAAACGGCCGTGCGTTACTCATGAGAGAACAGCCGACAAGCGAAAGCAAGTCAGCTGAAAAGAAAAAAAATTATACAAAAAAAAAAAACTCTTTATTGAGTTTTTTTTGATCTTGTATACTTTTAATCTTTGTTTTCACTCAACATTCAAACAATGCTGGTCTGGCTTGCCGCGGGGTGTGCGCTTTGCTAAGGAAACTCGCTTTCCAACAAACAAAGCCATGCACTCCGCTGGTCGCCATCAAGACCCATTCAGATGAACAAGCGGTAACACGCTAGTTCAGAAGAATACAATTTTTTGTATGAACTGTTCATCCTCAGTTGAGCTGCGTGCCCGATTCCATAGGAATTGGCC